AGCTGCTGTCACAGCATGTGAGTACTAAACTAAGTTCTCATTCACACACAAGTTTACGTTAAAAACACACAAGTTACAAAAACAGTCGGTTATGTCTGTGAATGTAAACTGCTGGGAAATAAATCGCATGTTTATTTTAGATCTAAATAGTGTTCTGTGCTCATCTGTGCAGCCAACGGCAGAACAATTAGTATGTTTTGCTCAAACTTTCGCCATGGCATTAGAACTGGTACACCGTTGTCACTTGTGAAATCAAAATGACGGCACCGTGGGTGGAAACGTGCAGATTAAGGGGCAGTAATATTATAATGAGATCCTTTTACTATGTCATGGGGGGAGCGGAATCTGACGCACTGTTTTTTTCACAAGCTTGCAGAAAAAGGCTTACCAAAACAAAGTTACTGGGTTGTCTTTTTTCACGTTTTCTGGGCTGGTAGATGCACTGGGGACCCAATTATAGCATTTAAATACGGAAAAAGTCAGATTTTCATGACGTCACCTTTAAAGGGACTTTGACATTGGTTGTACACTTGTTATTGCTGTGCATTGTGGGATTGAATGAGTGCAGCCCGGAAGGGAGAGTTAGGCCCAATCCCATTTCTACCCCTTACCCCCACACTAACCCCTACCTCTCCATTTCGCGCGTTCACATGAAGGGGTAGGGGTATCTCGATTCTCTTTTGGTTGGAGGGGTAGGGATAGGGGGAAGGGTCAGATAGCCCTTCAAACGAAGATTTTTCGGGACTACACTTCAAACGAAGGGGTAGAATTATCTCAGCGTAAACCGGCGGCAACATGGCTGCCCGAGCGAACAAAAAGACCCATAAATGTAAGCATTTTTGGCATTAATAAAGATTTTAATAAAAAGTAATAATTTGTTTTGTTACATTCAATCGTGAGTTCATATTTACGGTCATGTTACTTAAAGAAATGTTTGCAAAAATTTGTTTTATGTTACATTCAATCGTGTGTTCATATTTACGGTAATGTTATTCAAAGAAATGTTTGCAAAAAAATCACTAAAGTTTGCTAACGTTAAACCATTACTGACTGCATGATAGTGCCCCAACATATTTTCATGTCTGATCAGGGCGATAACCACCATAGACATTGAGGGGGGCTATTCCCCCCAATAATTAGAAATCGCTAAACCTTTTTCTCAAATATGGCCAAATTTACAATGAGTGAGTTTACTTCAAAAACTGCGATTTTATCCTCTCGTTGCTGGAAAATATAATGTAGTGATTCAGTATTTAAACTATGCTATTAATAAGTCATGTGGCAGCGTTGACAAGTTTCTTTGCGAAACTTGCCTGAAGTGTGTGTGTGTGTCAGTAAGCAGTGCATTAAAGGGTTAATTCACCCAAAAATGAAATTCTGTCATTAATTACTCACCCTCATTTCGTTCCAAACCCGTAAGACCTTCATTTATCTTGTGTGTGTGTGTGTCAGTAAGCAGTGCATTAAAGGGTTAATTCACCCAAAAATGAAATTCTGTCATTAATTAGATATTTTTGATCAAATCTGAGAGCTCTCTGACCCTCCGTAGACAGCAATGCAACTACAATGTTCCCAGAAACGTAGCAAGGACATCGATAAAATAGTCCATGTGACATCAGTGGTTCAACCGTAATTTTACAAAGCTACGA